CCTCTCCGAACTCTGAGGAAAACACTAGTTCTAACAGTGCTCACGGATCAATATAATATACATCTGGCCTTGGTAAGTGGGTCAAGAAATCTGCATCTGACCTCTCACAGCCAAAACCATCTCAAGGAAGGGCTGTGCTAAAGAAGAATAACAAAGTCATCCCCGGATTCAAATGCCTGTTTTGCGAGCGAGCCAGCCGGTGCATTGGGGATCTGCGTGTGGTCAGTTGCTGAACGCACAGCAATTACTTCTTGCATATCTTAGCCCCAATTATTAAGAGTCCACCAGAATAACAGATCATGGACAAATAAGATTTCAGTCAAGGGACTTTATGTAGTGTGTCTTGGCTTGTTTTACTGCTTGCATTTTATCTTCCTGTAAGGCTATGTAGTATTTACTTTATGTTCTAGGGCTCAGAACTTGGAATTTACCAATCTTAAGACATAAAATTCTTGCAGAAATTCTCCTTAAAATGTTGGCCAACTTCCCAGTCTTAGTTTTCATTTGAATTAAGTCACCCCAAGAAAGCTCCAACTACTGATTGTGTGGTAACAAGCTTCTCAGCACAGTTGGAGAAAAAGAGTTTCTGATTCTGTTCAGAACTCAGCAACCCACCTTAGACATTGATGACTTTTTCCTCTTCTGCCATAAAATGAAGGTGATAACTCATGTTCCACATTCAATGCACACTCAAGACAAAGTGCTGGGCTCTGGGTTAGGTGATGAGAATTAAAAAAAAAGAAGAAGAAGAAGGGAAAGAAGGAAGGAAGGGAGGAAGGAAAGAAGGCAGGCAGCTAGGCAGGCTCCTGCCTTGGGGAATCTAGTCCAGAAAGCATCATCTCTGTTGTAAGTAGGGTGGCTGGGGATAGGGCTGGAAGATATTTAAATAAAGAAAACAAATTTTCACAAATTCTTTGAAATCACGAGCAAAAGCTCATGTAGATTTAAGAAACTTTTATATAGTGGGAAATTACCAGAGTGATAGACTGTACTGTTCTCCACTTATATTAAAATGAGATACTGCTCCAGAATTCTGAATTTAGCAGCTGTTGGCATATGTGTCTCTTGCCACACTCATAAAGTTTTTTAATGTGCAATAACGTAACATACAGCTCATCTCTCCTATGGTTGGATGCATTATTTATAATTAACTAACTCTGTACTATCTTCATGTGTGGAAGAAGCAATAATAGGAGCTATCCATTTTTAGTTCACAGGAAACAAGACTCTATTTATTTTTCATAGTACCATTTACCTACCACCCTTTCTGCCAATGATTTGAATTGTTTAGCTATAGTTCTTATTTATCTCAACACACTGACAACTGGGAGATGATGCCTGCTCAAAGTGAATTAGCCTGAAAGCTCATCTGAAAATACTGAGAAGTTCGGTGCATCCTGCTTCAGTGCAGATGCGTGCGGTAAAACTAAAAGACCCCAATGTCTGTACCATTCATCTACAAAATGAAAAAGATCATACTGATGTGAATAAACCTGAAAAAAATCAGATGGAAGTTGAAATATTTGCCTAGCCGATGTTAGAGCTCATAATAATTCTCCATGATTCACTTTGCCCTGGCATCATGAGGAACTTCGGATCCACAGAATGAAAGAATACCGGTCCACATATTTTGTTCTGAGAAATGGTCTGCATATTTGCTCACTATGTTTACTAACACTAATTCCTTGGCAGTTTCCAAAGTTCCCTTTAGGAAAAAATTACAGGAATCTCTGCATTTGGGCTCCTCTTTCCCCCAACTCTAACGAGGCTGGAACCCACGCTGGGTCACATAGGGGACATATGTGACATTTGCAGGAATTTCTGTCCTTGGAGGTCAGAGGAGAACCCTTGTTTGAGAATGAACCTCAGTGGCAGAGGCAATGCTCTATGGGACCTCAACTGTTAAAGGTCCAACTCATTTCAAACACAGTTGCAGTGCTTACAGAAGGGACTGACAGACTGCTAATGACTTGAAGGAATTTGGAATAGAGCACAGGAGTCAGGTGAAATATTAAGCACAAATGATCTAAGGACTGAATTCAGATATAAATCATAGAGTGCTGGAGTAATTCATTCTAATAGGGAAACCTAAGAGATATTTACAGAGAAATTTAAGCATCTGAGCTGAGACCAGGATCATAAAAGACCTGGGGTCAGCTGGGCAGAGGACACCACGGGTTAAAGAATGAGGTAAGCATAGTTATGCGGGTGCCAAAGCAAAAGCAAGTTTGGCCATTTGGACGGGGGTAGGGTTCCCAAGAGGACAAAGTAGAAGAGTAATGAGGTAAAAGCCACATTTCTTCCCCAAGATAAATTATGTGACATTTATTCCACTAGTAACGGAATACCATTTAGTCCTACCAAGAAGTGGTCTAAGCAAGGCCCCCTTTTTTTGTTTTTGTTTTTTTAAAGATTTTATTTATTTATTTGACAGAGAGAGACACAGTGAGAGAGGGAACACAAGCAGGGGGAGTGGGAGAGGGAGAAGCAGGCTTCCCGCGGAGCAGGGAGCCCGACGTGGGGCTCGATCCCAGGACCCCGGGATCATGACCTGAGCCGAAGGCAGACGCTTAACGACTGAGCCACCCAGGCGCCCCAAGGCACTCGTTTTTTAATGGACGAATCTGTCCGTTTTACCAAAACGGAATGGAGTTGGAGGGAAATGAAGGTGTTACCAATCCCCAGCTGGAGATAGGCTTGTTCACTTGTGAGGCTTGATGTTTCACTGGATTCCTGTGATTACTAAGTTACTGTGACAGTTGAGGTCAGACCCTGGGTTGGCTCACGCGGAAGCGTAATTTCAGATATCTGTGAGAAATTCCATATGTAGAATACAACAGGATTCACAGCTGCTCTAGCATATCTGAAGCCTGGAACTGCACACAGGTGTCATAGTAACTGAGGCACACTGTCCTCTGTTTGTGGGTCTTTACTGAATTTCGGTTTTCATTTCTTTAATGAGAAAGAGATTCCTTCCCCTTGTTTGTCCCACTCCGTCTCATATTTATACTGCCGGAAAAATTATTTCAATCAATAAAACTGATTAGCCTTTTTGTTTTCCTCTGATCTTTAGCATCCGTGCTCCTGAAGCCATTCTCATATTAACCCGCTATATTGATTTTGCCTTTCTAAATGACAGCAACCTCAGCCAAGCTGCCTCTCATACCTTCTCTCCTCATCCATTGCTCTTCCTAAGGGTAATTCCTGACATCCTACAGCGTTATGCCGCCTGTCCCCACTTCTCCTAGCATCTGTAATCATGCCCAGAAACTCTTGTCTCCCTCCCGGCCCCGGCCCACCAGTGCGCCCCCCGATAACCAAAGGGTAAATAGCAGCAGGACCCAGGCAGCAGTGCGAGGTCTTCAGACAATTGCACTTACAAATTTCCCCCTCCTCCGGCTCGGAGTCCCCACCGCAGCCCGGAACTCACGTGCCCAGAGACACCCTGCGACGGGCTTTCGGATCCGGGGATGGGGGGCGCTCGTTCCCGACCCTGGCCCCGCCCCAGCCTTGTTCTCGCCCCGCCCCGCTTCCTAAATCGCCATCTCTCTCCTCCCTACAGCCCCTCAGCCCTAAGGCCCCGCCCCCCATCTCGTTCCCGCCCCGCCTTCGGCTCACGTCACAGTCTCTCGCCCTGCCCGGTCCCGAGGGCCCGCCCCTGTCTCCGCCTCCGTCTTGCTCCCGCCCCGCCCACCGCTCCCGTGTCCCCCTCCCACGGCCTTCCCGGGCCTGAGGCCCCGCCCCGGCCCCGCCCCCGTCTCGTTCCCGCCCCGCCCCCGGCCCGCGTCGCTGTCTCTCGCCCGCCCCGGGCCGCGCGGCCGGAGCTGGCACGGAGGAGCGGCGGCCGCGGCGGCATCGCGGCCTGGGGACGCCAGCGCTCCGCCGGACTCGGCGCCCGCGAGAGCGCCCTTTGCGCGCGGATCTGCCTTCCGGGGTGCTGGGCTGCCCGGAGCGTCCGGCGTTCCCCGAGGGCGGGCGTGTCCTCGCGGCGCGGGGCGGGGGACCGGCGCGGGGCCGCAGCCTGTTGGAGCGCTGGGGGTGCCGTGCCGGGGGCGCTGGGAGCCCTGCGGGGGACGGCGCGGCCCGGCTCCCTGTGCGGAGCAGTTTTCTCGAACTCTCCACCTCCTCCTCATTGGGGCCCAGCGCTGCCGGGAGACCCCGTCTACATCTGCGGAAGGTAAGCGGACTTGGCCATGTAGGGGTCGCTTGTCCCCAGACCACAGCCAGAGGTCGAGGGTGGGGAGCGGAGGATGGGGGCGGCACGTACGTAGGAAGCGAACGAAAAAAATGCAACAGGCGGGGCGGTTCAGGAAACTCTAGCGTTAATGTTTCCTACAGAGAGGAGACTTGTCCAAGACTGAAACTTGGTTAGGTTCTTCAAATCCGAAGACGGGCAGAGGCGACGCTGCACCTTAGTCTGGGTCTGAGCTCCCTCTGGTGGCCTCTGGTAAGGAGGGAAGACGAGGCTACAGGTGAGGTTGGAGCGCCGTTGCTTGCTCCCACGCATTCTCATGATTTCTCCTTTGAGAAACGTGACTGGTCTCAGTAGTTTCCCCTACAAAGGCATCCTTTGATCCCATAAAAGCCAGTCCCTCAACCGGAATCAGAAAAAGCCCTTTCAACTTCTGCTTTTTGTCCCTGAGTCCTTTGCGACCAAACCAACAAGAATGATAGCAGGACTCATCTTTGTGTTAACCTCACTTGAATAAAAACAGGTTAAATGAGTCAAGCAAGCCACAGGTAAAATAAATGCTGCAGGAAAGTTGCATCTTGTAGCTGCTGGTCATCTGCCACCGTTCATTGTTATCCTAACATGTGCATTTAAAAGTGTAAGAAAAAAAGAATCACTTGAGCTAACTTAGATTGTATTCAATTACAGATTTTATCGTGATTCTAAAATTTCTGTCAAGAGATTGTAGAACCTTTAAGTCGTCACTTCATGTCCACTCCCAGCATATCTGTAGCCTCAGAGAATTTCTTTTTGTTTTTCCTCCAGAAAGGAGTGTCATGAAAAAGGAACAGAAAAGAACCGGCATTCTTGGTCAAAGGGGAGTTTTCTTTCCCAGTTGGTGGTTACTTCATGATTGGAAACGAAGTACCTAGGTGGCTGAAGAGATTAGATTTTTATAGTTAACAGATGAAGCTGATAAAAGAAGACATGAAAATACTTTCTCTGGGTCATTAATGGGTGATGAGTAAGTAAGCCTGAACAAGACAGATTTGAAATGAGGGCAGAACTTTTGATTTTTTAAAACCAAGTAGGACTTTGAACACTTGTTGAGGATGTTCTTTTCCCAAAAATGGAAGAAGAAAACATTTTCAAAGCAAAGGTGTAAAAAGTGGAAGGGAGTAACAACCAAGAATTTCAGCTTCAAGAATTTCAGCTTCAAGAATTTCAGTACATCATCAACTTCTTCAGGCAGACACAGGCACAAGGATCATACATGGGGGTGATGGTTTCCTATCCTAGGAACAAGTTTTTAATTTGGATTTTGGAGTTCTTATTTTTCTTTCTTTTTTTTTTTTACAATGTGTGTTTTGACTCTTCATGTTAGATAGATTTATGTAAAGGAGGTAAATCCTGAATTCATAGTATGTTCGACTCTACCACACTGTTTGATCTGTGATATGGAAACATTAGAGGTTTTAACATTCCTCGAAGTTTTATTGGAAGCAAATCTGTGTCAGGGACACAGTGTAAGTTTTCTCCTTTTGGCAACCCACCTTGCTTTGAATGAACTGAATGTCAGCTGGATTTCACAGCATATCTGATTTACAGTCTTTGTGTTATCAAGGCCTTAAATGTTATGCTTTATCCTAGGCAGATGGGAAACACCTTGAGCACTGTGTTTGACATGTATGCCTAAGGAAGGGAACTCCCCGATGGATCATGGCGTTAATGTTTACAGGACATTTCTTATTTTTAGCATTAGTGATGTTTGCTTTCTCTACTTTTGAGGAATCTGTGAGCAATTACTCTGACTGGGCAGTTTTCACAGATGATATAGATCAGTTTAAGACACAGAAAGTGCAAGACTTCAAACCCAGTCAAAAGCTGAAGAAAAGTATGCTTCATCCAAGTTTATATTTTGATGCTGGAGAAATCCAGGCAATGAGACAAAAGTCTCGTACAAGCCATTTGCATCTGTTTAGAGCTATCAGAAGTGCAGTAACAGTTATGCTGTCCAACCCCACATACTACCTACCTCCACCCAAGCATGCTGATTTTGCTGCCAAGTGGAATGAAATTTATGGTAACAATCTGCCTCCTTTAGCATTGTACTGTTTGTTATGTCCAGAAGACAAAGTTGCCTTTGAGTTTGTCTTGGAATATATGGACAGGATGGTTGGCTACAAAGACTGGCTGGTTGCAAATGCACCAGGGGATGAGGTTCCAGTTGGCCATTCCTTAACGGGTTTCGCCACTGCCTTTGACTTTTTGCATAACTTACTAGATGATCACCGAAAACAAAAATACCTGGAAAAAGTATGGGCTGTTACTGAGGAAATGTATGAGTATTCCAAGGTCCGTTCGTGGGGCAAACAGCTTCTCCATAATCACCAAGCTACTAACATGATAGCATTACTCACTGGGGCTTTGGTGACTGGGGTAGATAAAGGTTCTAAAGCAAATGTGTGGAAACAGGTTGTAGTGGATGTGATGGAAAAGACGATGTTTCTGTTGAATCACGTTGTCGATGGTTCTTTGGACGAAGGTGTGGCCTATGGAAGCTACACAGCTAAATCAGTCACGCAGTATGTTTTTCTAGCCCAGCGTCATTTTAATATCAACAACTTGGATAATAACTGGTTGAAAATGCACTTTTGGTTCTATTACGCCACCCTTTTACCAGGCTTCCAAAGAACTGTGGGTATAGCAGATTCCAATTATAATTGGTTTTATGGTCCAGAGAGCCAGTTAGTTTTTTTGGATAAGTTTATCTTAAAGAATGGAGCTGGGAATTGGTTAGCTCAGCAAATTAGAAGGCACCGACCTAAAGATGGACCAATGGTCCCCTCCACTGCCCAGAGGTGGAGTACTCTTCACACTGAGTTCATCTGGTATGATCCCCAGCTCACCCCACAGCCTCCTGCTGAATACGGTACTGCAAAAATGCACACATTCCCAAACTGGGGTGTTGTCACCTATGGGGCTGGGTTGCCAAATACACAGACCAATACCTTTGTGTCTTTTAAGTCTGGGAAGCTAGGGGGGCGAGCGGTGTATGACATAGTTCACTTTCAGCCATACTCCTGGATTGATGGGTGGAGAAGCTTTAACCCAGGACATGAACATCCAGATCAGAACTCATTTACTTTTGCCCCCAATGGGCAAGTGTTTGTTTCTGAAGCTCTCTATGGACCCAAGCTGAGCCACCTTAACAACGTACTGGTGTTTGCTCCATCACCCACAAGCCAGTGTAATAAGCCCTGGGAAGGTCAACTGGGAGAATGTGCACAGTGGCTCAAGTGGACCGGCGAGGAGGCTGGTGATGCGGCAGGGGAAATCGTTACTGCCTCTCAGCATGGAGAAATGATATTTGTGAGTGGGGAAGCAGTGTCTGCTTACTCTTCAGCAATGAAGCTGAAAAGTGTGTATCGTGCTTTGCTTCTCTTAAATTCCCAGACTTTGCTAGTTGTGGATCACGTTGAGAAGCAAGACAATTCCCCAATAAAATCTGTCAGTGCCTTCTTTCATAATCTGGACATTGATTTTAAGTATATCCCTTATAGGTCTATGAACAGGTACAATGGCGCCATGATGGATGTGTGGGATGCACACTACAGAATGTTCTGGTTTGATCATCATGGCAATAGTCCCATTGCTAGCATACAGGAAGCAGAGCAAGCTGCTGAATTTAAGAAACGGTGGACTCAATTTGTTAATGTTACATTTCACATGGAATCCACAATCACAAGAATTGCATATGTCTTTTATGGGCCATATGTCAATGTTTCCAGCTGCAGATTTATTGATAATTCCAATTCTGGACTTCAGATTTCTCTCAATGTCAATAATACTGAACATGTCGTGTCCATTGTAACTGACTACCATAACCTGAAGACAAGATTCGATTACCTGGGTTTTGGTGGCTTTGCCAATGTGGCTGATCAGGGCCAAATAACCCGATTTGGTTTGGGCACTCAAGCAATAGCAAAGCCTGTAAGACAAGATAGGGTTATTTTCCCCTTTGGATTTAAATTTAATATAGCAGTTGGGTTGATTTTGTGCATTAGCTTGGTGATTTTAACCTTTCAGTGGCGGTTTTACCTTTCCTTTAGAAAGCTAATGCGGTGGATCCTAATCCTTGTTATTGCCTTGTGGTTTATTGAGCTGCTGGATGTGTGGAGCACTTGCTCTCAGCCCCTCTGTGCAAAATGGGCAAGGACGGAGGCCGAGGCAAGCCCGAAGTCTTTGTCTTCCGAAGGGCACCACCTCGATCTTCCCTATGTCGTCATTACCTCACTTCCTGGTTCAGGAGCTGAAATTCTCAAACAGCTTTTTTTCAACAGTAGTGATTTTCTCTACATCAGAGTTCCTACAGCCTACATCGATATTCCTGAAACTGAATTTGAAATTGACTCATTTGCAGATGCCTGTGAATGGAAGGCATCAGATATCCACAGCGTGCATTTCCGTTTACTCCGAGGCTGGTTGCAGTCCTTAGTTCAAGACACGAAACTACATTTGCAAAACATCCATCTGCATGAACCCAGTAGGGGTAAACTGGCCCCATATTTTACAGCAAATAAGGACAAAAAAAGAAAATTGAAAAGGAGAGAGTCTTTGCCAGAACAAAGAAGTAGAATGAAAGGCACCTTTGATAGAGATGCTGAATATATTAGGGCTTTGAGGAGACACCTGGTCTATTACCCAAGCGCACGTCCTGTGCTCAGCTTAAGCAGCGGGAGCTGGACTTTAAAGCTTCATTTTTTTCAAGAAGTTTTAGGAGCTTCTATGAGGGCATTGTACATAGTAAGGGACCCTCGGGCATGGATTTATTCAATGCTGTACAGTAGTAAACCAAGTCTCTACTCTTTGAAAAACGTACCAGAACACTTAGCTAAATTGTTTAAAATAGAGGGAGGTAAAGGCAAATGTATCTTAAATTCAGGCTATGCTTTCGAGTATGAATCGTTGAGGAAAGAATTATCAAAATCCAAGTCAAATGCAGTCTCCCTGTTGTCTCATTTGTGGCTAGCAAACACAGCAGCGGCCCTGAGAATAAATACAGATTTGCTGCCTACCAGCTACCAGCTGATCAAGTTTGAAGATATTGTACATTTTCCTCAGAAAACCACTGAAAGGATTTTTGCCTTTCTTGGGATACCTTTGTCTCCTGCTAGTTTAAACCAAATATTGTTCGCCACCTCCACAAACCTTTTCTATCTTCCCTATGAGGGGGAAATATCACCAAGTAATACTAATGTTTGGAAACAGAACTTGCCTAGAGATGAAATTAAACTGATTGAGAACATCTGCTGGTCACTGATGGAGCGTCTAGGATATCCAAAGTTTATGGACTAAATGCTGCAGGTCAGCAGAGATTTGCACTAATCCTTTGCAGCTCGGTTTGTGGATGTGACGAGTTTGTTTATTCTTGTACTATGTGTGTGTGCGTGCGTGCGCGTGTTCAGTTTGTTACTTGCACAGAGATTATTTTAAAAATAGGCCGCATATTTGGCCTAGCAGGATTTATTTTTATGTCGCTACTTCCCTTGCCTTTGTTTCTGAATTTTTTTTCTGCTGAAATGTTCCTGCTACAGAGGCGTAGATGAAGTTATAGGATGGCGGTCAGTGGAGGTAAGAAGATTTTACAGGTTTTTGTCTGGCCGTCTCCTCGTCTGTAACTGTGCTGATCTATCTTGGAACCTCAAACACTGCTAAAGGCCTTTCAATTGCTGCTTTGCCCAAGCATCTCTTGCTTTCAAGATGGACTACAAAAGTTCCTTATCTTTTTTAAAAGATCTTCTAACACATTTATCTTGCACCAAAAAAAAAAAAAAGGGTTTTTTTGGTGTTTTTTGTTTTGTTTTTTTCCTGTGTATAATGTTCAGTGATATCACTGGGGAAATGGTGAAAGCTCCTATCAGAACTATAGAATTCTTTCTGGAAAATAAAGGTGGAAATACAGAACGAACATTTTTTTGAAGTCTGAGACCGTGGCCTGAAAAGCCTCCTTAAAGTTTTTTTACTTGGAATCAACAAGGAGTCAGTCTTTGAACAATCTGTGTGCCAAGGGCTGGGAGAGTATTTAGACTTGCTTGTCTGTTTAAAACTCTTCTCTCTCTTGCCTCCTTGAAGCTACAGCTGTTCCCACCCCTCACACCCTGTCCTTTCTGTCACTGTCATGCAAAATAACCCATTATTGATTGCTGAAGTCCCGACATTTGTGGGGATTTTTTTTTTCCCTGATGATTAATCTTGCATTAAAGAATCGCACTTAGAATCGAATTTCTTTTTGTGGAATCCTCACCGTATGACTCAGAGAAAGCAGTACCAGTGCTGCCAGTGTTTTTTTAGCCTGGAAACAGAATTGGAAACCTGCCTGGCTGATCCTGCATCCCTTTGAATGAGTTTGCAGACTGCCAGTGTCTGCAAAAGTTACAGGCAAATGGGAGATGACATCAGAGGCATCTGTTTCTTTTACCATCTGCATCTTATTATAAATGTAGTCGTCATAAAATCTGGTTCATTTTATTTTGGTAGGCTCTGAAATCAAAATGCCACGCCATTAGATGCCGTTATAAGCCGGGGGAGTAATTACCACGCACTGGACGAAAACCATTAGGCGGTGTTGAGACCTGATGAAAATCTCTGTACAGATTGCAGTCTTTCCGACGTTTCAAACTGTCATTTCCCCAAGCTCTCCAACACTTGCGAGTCTGTCCTTCTGACCTAGATAAAAGTGGTTCTTTCTCAGTAGTTTGTTATTATGTCAAAATGTGCCTCCAGAGTGATAAGGCTGTGGATATGTTCCATTCCAGCTAAACCTAACTTGGCTGTCATTTTTCTTCCATTATAGTGTGAATGCAGACCGCTCCTCCTCCCCCAGCTTTTCTTCCTTCCCTCCGCTCTCCCTGCTTTCTCTCTGCAAAGTCAAAAATGAATGAAAAATCGTATTTTATCAGTATAGGTTGAGAGGGCAGCTGAAGACCTGAGTCTACACAGGTATTCTCAAGGAAGGTTATTCTACCTACCTCAGGGTTATCAACAAGCAGGTAAAATTGCTGCATGGATGATAACACTCTTTCCATTACTGGTCAGAGTCTCAGTGTTTGCTTTCAATTCCCAGGATGTGTGATCTCAAATCGGATCAAATCAAAAGGCTTTGGGTTGGCAGTAAGAGCAGGTCTGATCAAGGTAAGACTTACACATGTGTGCAGAAGCTGAACCACTGCCTGTTAATATTGCAGAAACACACCCAAGGGGGGAAGGAGAGATCCAGGTGGACTATGTGGAGGCATCGGGGGAGAGGTGGGGAAAATGAAAAAAAGCAGTTGTGTGAATGAGCATGGGAACTTGTTACTGATAGCTGAAGAAAGGGACACAGTTCCCAAAGTGATCTTCACAGTGTGTCCTAACTCTCACCCCCACACAGCAATGCCAAGATGAATTTGCCTGGCACTGTACTCACCTCCCCCCACCCCAAGGGAAAGTCTGCTGGAAGAGACCTCTATCTGCAGATTCCCCTGTGAGGGACATTATGGGTGAAGGATGACCCAGCCGTTGGATCTGCACGCAGATGTTCATGCTTGGGACCCCTTGCCTTATAATACCTGAGGTGACTAACTCCCAGAACATCCAGGTCCTGCATCCTTAGGGTGTTAGCTGCAGAAAAATTCCGATAGCCTCCACACTTAATTTTATTCGTATTGTCTTGAAAATCATTAAAGGGATGATTGTCACTATGTGACACTTCTAAAGGAAACACCTGTCCTCTCTGTAAAATTAACCCCTTTCTTTATTAACTTCCCCAAACTTAGGCCTAACTGGGATAAAAACTGTTACTAAAATAATAGAATTTAGGTGTTGAAATTAAAAAAAAAGACAGTTTTGCTGACAGGGGTAACAAATGCAATGGTAATAATACGGTTCTCAGAAGTTTGAAATAATGCAAATTACTCACTTAGGATGAAAGAATAAGGCCATATCCAGAATTGAGTTTAAAGAAATTCTGGAGAGGATAGGAAGTGGGAGACTCTCTTCAGGAAAAGCAAGATGAATTTATAAGTATGCTTAAATTTAATTGATAGAAACCTAGAGAGGCACAAGTTTTAAGCAAATGGCAAGAAAATGTACATATTAGGAAAGCACCTGTTAATAAAGGCCTATAAATAAATAAAACATATTAGATCTAGACCCCAAACATTAGACATCTGATTGGCTGTCTTTTTAAACCAACAGAGAAGAATTAGTAAATGCCTGACAAGAACGAGATGTTACTCCCAGGCAATGGCAGAGGACTTGCCACAAAACCTTCAGCAAATGCATTCAAAGAAGCAGTTCCCCTCCACCCACACTAGGGCATCTTAAAGGTTTTCCTTTTGTGGAAATGTTACCCCTCTGCCAGTTACTTCTGATTAACGTGGTTTATCAGCACTTTTGGGTGCATCATTGAAGATCCCAGCCATTCTTGTTATGTAAAGGATATCCAATTATCTGTGAGTAGACATTAGCAATGGTTTTTAAATGACTACGTTTGTTTGGCTTGATTAACTGGTGATAATTAGAAAAATATTCACTGATTAGTTTAGGAAAAATGTAAATGGAAGGCAACACATAAATACCATTTCCAGAGATAAGGATGCCTAATACAGGATATGTCAAGGAATTTAATATGTGGGCTATTTACTGCTTATTTAAATGTTAGCTAAAGCATGTCTAATACATATAAAAATGTCTGCTAAGGCAATTTCTTCCATTATCTCACTAGTGTCATTATTCCCTTCATGTTGGCAGGAAAGTTCAAATAATATTCTAAGAGCTAAATGACTGAATTTTTGCACAGAGGATGATAGGAACTTCAAACAATAGATTCTAATGTTCTCTAACTTCTAGATGCTTGAGCTATAATTTACATGAGCTTATGTTATATTTAGTCCACGTAATGTATACATATTTAATTCTGTTTCCAGAGATAGGTTCAGCTAATGCTTCCAAACCATAGAGAATTTCATTTTTGTTTTTGTTTTGTTTTTCTTTCACACTTACCCAGTTATTCAGTGAAGGAAAGATAGACTGAAGATCATAAACTAGCTTACTCTGGAACTATATGTATAACAAGACTCCACTGTTAATAAATAAAAAGCTAAAAGCAACTTGGCTATGGTTGGGATAATTTTGTAATAGCTCTCTTTACGTCTTTGGGTAACTGAGAATTTTATGTGGAGCCGAGAAGGCAGGGACTTGAAATGGGGGGCACACTGAATACTGACATTCAGCCTCAGGATTTCAGCCACAAAACTTGCTCCATTAAGTGATGAGCTAGCCTCTTCTTTCCCGACTTAATCCCAGGTCTGTCTCTGACTTGGACTCATTTCCGTCTTCTGCACACATCATCCCACTTACGAAATGGCAAGAGCACCCCTGTACTATGCACCTGTGCTCTACATCTGGCCCTGCGGCCATTGGTAAGATCTCTGTGCTGCATGATGCATTACTCATGAAGAAGGTTACTTGAGACGTTCTAAGTTTGGTGTGCAGGATTGGCACAGTGAAGACTTTTTTTTTTTTTTTTAAAGAGAAGCATCTATAGTGAATTCGTCTCTAATGTGCTATGCATTGAACTGTAAGGTTTTTATATGTCTCATTACAATCCTCACAACAACTCTATATGGTACTTATTTTACAAATAAATTTGAAACCCCTATTATCTCTCTAGGAAGTGCATTTTTGTAAGGGAATTTTTAGTGGATTTACAATTCATCAGTTCATTTATTCGCTTTACTTTCTGGGTATCTACTGTTGAGATACTGACTAGTGTGAGGGAAGAACAGAAAAAATCAGTTGCCCGACCCTGCTGTGTGAGGAATTGGCAGTCTTTCCAGACTTCAAAGCTAATAGGAATTCATCAAGAGGCGGAGAAGAGGGGGCATGCCAGTTAGTGATTATCACCCGAGGAAAGACACCAAAAATCGTCTCTTTTGCAGTAGACATGGTTTATTTCTGAAATGGTGGTTGTGAGGAAAGAGAGTCATTTACTGAGTTAGAGGAAGTTATGCTTGGTAAACTTGGATGGAGATCACCACCTATTTTTTCTTAATTAGGTTTTGGCTCTAGATGTCATAGGACATCCCATTAATGAGTACCCTTTTCCAAAAGGGTAGTGCAAATAGAACAAAATCAACGCTTGCTCTCTCCCCATTCCCGCTCACTCAACTACCCTAACACTATTCACAACAAAGAAACTGGGTCATAGGTGAATATCAAGAGGTGCCCTGAAGAGAAAAGAATAGGTGAGTATGGTCTGACTGGTGTGCGTACAGATCATTGCTAGTAATGACAGAAACGTAACACCATGTTTTTCATCCAGAGTCCAGCTGACCAATAGCATCTTTCCCTGTCCCTCCTCTCTGAGTGCCTCCAGACCCGCAGTGCCAAACATAGCTATCAATACCGGGAATGCAGCAGGGAACAAAAATCTATGGAGCGGACAGTCTAGTGAGGACTAGAGAGAAACACATTTTGCATTTCACAATGTTTCTAGCTCAAAGAAGTCTACACCAAATGGAAGTGCCTAATCGTGTCAAATCTGTGACTAACAAATATATTCAAGTAGAATTCATTTTAGGAAAAAAAAAATCTGCTCTTTCCTCCACCATGTAAATAATACCAGCAGGAAGGGAGGGAAAGAGAAAAAAGGGAAAGGGAGGGAGGGAGGGAAGAACTTAGAACACAGAAAGTAAGGTGTACAAGGAGAATCACTCCTGTAACAATTGTGTTAATTATTCTATGAACTATTTAAAATCTCTTTGAAATCTTATTGCAGTTAAAACTTGAGAA